GGCCTGCATCGGCTGCGGATGCTCGTCGATCAGTCCGACTGGATGAACGACGCGTCTCGAACATCCACACCGAATAATAGCGCGGCGCTGAATCAGGCGTCTTCCAGAGAGTTTGGCCGATTGGACGGCAGCAACGAAGAGCTGATGTCGCCCAACAGCGACGACACCAACGAGAGCGAAAGCGAGCGCTGCAGCGCCTGCTCGAAGACCTTCAGGAACGTGGACGAGCTGTGCAATCATCAGAACGAGACGGGCCATCAGCTGGAAATCAAGCAAACGCCCAGCGGGCCGGGGTACCTCTGCTGGAAGAAGGGCTGCAACCAGTTTTTTCCAACGGCGCACAGCCTGCAGATGCACTTCAAAGAAGTCCACGCGAAAAACTCCATCACCAACATGTCGGTGAGCGAGAAGCACGTCTACAAGTACCGGTGCAACCAGTGCTCGTTGGCCTATAAAACAGTGGAGAAGCTGCAGGTGCACGCGCAGTACCACATGATCCGGGACGCCACTAAATGTGTGCTGTGCGGGCGCAGCTTCCGCTCCCTAGTGGCGCTGCACAAGCACGTGGAGAGCGTGCACTCGGAGCTGACCGACGAGGAGCTGAACGCCTACAAGCAGAGCCTGATTAACAACCCGCTGCTGCTCGCAGGCCTGCAAGGCCAGATCCTCGACTCGTCGGCCGGCGAGTTGCTGAAAAACAGCCTGCGGGTGGAGGACACCGAGAGCTCTGCAGAGCTGGACGACAGCAAGGACCTGAACACTAGTCAGGAGGACAGCATTCAGAACGACGGCGAGAACTCGGACGACAGTATGGTCTACAAGGACCAGCAGTGCTTGGAGGAGTACTTGAACTCGCCAGCCATGGCTGAGGACAGCTACAACGACCCGAACCGGAAATACAAGTGCCATCGCTGCCGCGTGGCCTTCACCCGACAGAACTACCTGACCGGCCACAACAAGACGCTGCTGCACAGGAAGGGGGAGAAGCTGACCTATCCAATGGAGAAATATCTGGACCCGAACAGGCCCTTCAAGTGCGACGTGTGCAAGGAGAGCTTCACGCAGAAAAACATCCTGCTGGTGCACTACAACTCGGTTAGCCACCTGCACAAGTACAAGCGCTCGATGCAGGAACAGTCCAACAACAACAACAATTCGCCAGTTTCGATGGGCGCACAGGCGCCCAACGCTCAGCTCACACCCCCAAAGGGCGAGGACGACGACAAGAAGCGCTATCGCTGCAATATATGCAAAGTGGCGTACACTCAGGGCAGCACCCTGGACATTCACATGCGTAGCGTGCTGCACCAGACCAGGGCCAGTAAGCTGCAAGATCTGGCCATGAGCGGCCAGATCGACCTTTCGAAGCCCCTAATCGAGCAGCCAGACATAATGGCATCCCCGAAACATCCCTCACCACTGTCCGGGGAAGGGGACGCGACAAAACCGGCCGCCGGCTCTTGCCCTACTCCACCCAGCCCAGGTAGTTCAGGGTATTTCTGCCTGAAGTGCAACAGCTCGTTTAGCAACCCCGACCAGTTGAATTCGCATCAGCTTTATTGTCTGTTCGCAACCCCCGTCAGTAGTGGTTCGTGCGTTGCCAAAGAGGATCGGCATGAGCCGGACAAGGACGCAAACTTCATGGGAATGAAGAAAGGCTCTCCGATATACAAACACTTGCTCGAGGGCTATGGCTTCGATCTTGTGATGCAGTACAATGAGGGCAGCCATCAGCGCCGCCAGCAGCAAGAAAAGGAGAGGCTGGAAGCCGAGTGCAGCAAAGACAAGTGCAATACTGATCCAGAGAATGTAGCGCCCGACGTCCTGCCGGACGCTTCGGACGTGTCCGATCGCAAGGAGCAGAACAGTCCCGATCCCGAGGTTCAACAACAAACCTCAGCCGAGAAGGACGACGCCGCATCGACGCTGCCTGAAGTGAGCAAATCCACATGCCAGACCTGCAACAAGGAGTTTTCCAGCGTGTGGGTGCTGAAGAGTCATTGCGAGGAAGTGCACAAAGACCTGGTGCCCTCCGACTATGTGGAAAAGTACGTTCAACAGTTGAAAAGTGAAATCGAAAAGAAAAATGTGGTGGTCACGGCCGCGACCAGTTCAACAACAAGTGCCCAACCCAGAGTGTCCACCCCCGTTTCCGAAGCGACCTCACCGGACGAAAACAAGGAAGCCGGCAAGCCCTTGCAGGAGGCTCCAACGGCTCCTACAACTCCCACAAGCAGTGTCACTCCTGCCAGCTCCACCGACTCGTTGCCTGCGAACATCCAGGCTGTGCTGGCACAGAGCATTGCACAAAACCCGATGGCTTTCGCGCAACAGATCTCCGACATGCAAACGGCCTTCAATGTGATTCAGCTGCAGCAGCAGCTGAACAACTTCACGCCGATGATGCAAATGATGGGAATGGGACTGCCGCTAGGCTTAAATGCCCTGGCTGCAATGAATCTGCAGCCTCCCATCGTGCCCCTGATGATGCCTCCTCCTCACTTCGACTCCATGGGGCAATTCAGTGCACAGGATCAACAGAACATGCTGGTGAAACAACAGGCGGCGATTTTACAACAACAACAAGCCGTAAGTGTTTTCTTCATTTTCATGGTCAAATTTTTGTCTTGGGTAATTTTCGGCCCGTAAGTTTTCTCTCCTTTTAAAATTTGCATCTCCCGAAATACAGAAGACAACAGTTTGAAATTTACATCATTTTTAGAAGATATGTGGCTCTAACTATGTTGAAAGTTTCATAGAAATCTCAATAAAACCTGATTTTTACCATCTTTGTAAATATCGGTTCGTGATGGATCTTTTCAGTCAACCGCACTCTCTCTTTTAAAAATTCACTACTCCCAAATTGCAGGAGTCAGCAATTTGAAATTTTCACCATTTTTAGAACACTCGCGAGTCTAACTAACATTGCTGAAAGTTTCGACAAAATCGCCCCAAAGCCTAATTATTACCAGCTTCGTAAATATCGGTTTCATAATGGAAGAATTTAGTCAACTGCACTCCCTCCTATAAAAATTCGCATCTCCCAAACTACAGGAGCCAGCAATTTGAAATTTTCACCATCTTTAGAAGACATGTGACTGTAGCAGTATTGAAAGTTTCCGAAAAACGTTCCTTAAACCTAATTTTTACCATCTTCGTAAATACCGGTTTTGTGATGGATCTCTTGAGTCAACCGCACTCTCTCCTTTAAAAATTCACTACTCCCAAAATACAGAAGCTAACAATTTGAAATTTTCACCATTTTTAGAAGACTCGTGAGTCTAACATTGCTGAAAGTTTCGACAAAATCGCCTCAAACCCTGATTTTTACCATCTTCGTAGATATCTGCTTCATAATGGAAGAATTTAGTCAACTGCGCTCTCTTCTTTAAAAATTCGCATCTCCCAAACTGCAGGAGCCAGCAATTTGAAATTTTCACCGTCTTTACAAGACCTGTGGCTCTAACTGTGTTGAAAGTTTTATAGAAGTCTCCCTAAAACCTGATTTTTACCTTCTTCGTAAATATCGTTTTCGTGATGGATCTCTTTAGTCACCCGCACTCTCTCCTTTAAAAATTCGCTACGCTCAAAATACAGAAGCCAACAATTTGAAATTTACACCATCTTTAGAAGACTTGTGAGCCTAATATTGTTGAAAGTTTTGACCAAATCGCCCAGAAGCCTGATTTTTACCATCTTTGATTGTTGATGTTGATTTGGCAAAAACCTGCAGCCCTTGACTGATTGAACTGGCAAAATATTCCCCTGAACAACCAACGAATACCTAAACTTCAAAACATTTTCAAACACCAACTAAAACCCTCCGTGATTGATTCTTGGCGATTTTCCTGCGATATTTACAATGTCGAAACTGCATTAGGCCTCCAGCGAAAGCTTCACTTTACACTTCGTCCGTTTTGCTTTAAAAATATCAGCCAGCCACATTAAATAGCTACTAATAGTGTCTTTTAATCGTTTACGTTGGGTTTTATAGTCGATTTTATAGAGAGAGAGGAAACCGCATTAAAAAGCTTTCAATCTGTGTTTTAACAAGCCGAATTGTTTTATGTGTAAATCGACACTGTTTGCCCGATGCCAACATGGAACGGTATTTCCTCTCGGAACCACCCATTTTTTTCTCTTCAAGTCTAATCGATGCTAATACCGGTTCACGATGTTCTATTTGCCGGCCAGTGATAATAATTTATTTAAATAAATGCATTAATTAATAACGGCGAGGCGTTTCACAATGGGGAATTAACACTAATGCTCGCCGAATGTGTGTCATGTTTAAATTTGAATTTTAATTGTTGTTTGCTGACACTTTCACGTGAAAAGCCATTTTTTGACGATTTTCACATTCATGTTCGTTATTGCAATTGCTGCCAGGCAGATTTATACAGGGAATGTTGCGTTTTTCGACCAAAACACTGAGAAAATAACGATGTCAGCAGATATTTAAGTGAAAATGAACGCATAATTTCCCGTTAAACTTAAGAATTTACATGCGATGGTAAAAAGCAGCAAGAATGGTGGTTGCCTGGCCGAATCAAGGCGGCATTTCACTACCTGGTCCGCAATTAAATTGTGAGCCAAAGCCCGGATTAAGAGCATCCATCCTCATCAGGCACCGTCCCATTCATTTAACCATAACTACGGCCGATCTGCGGATAATTCGGGATTCTCTAAAATGTCGGATTTTGCACCAAAATCCAAAAAATCTATTCACTGCAGCCAACAAAGACTCGACAGCAACAATGGCTGGCGCACATATTTGAATTCTATAACGGGCAGGTGTGGTTTCAGAATGAGCAAATATAATAATTGGCATGAATGTGTGTCCTTTGACGCTTACAGTTTTTACCTGAAACTGAGCAAACTGTTCAAACGTATTTTTGTTTCCAAATGCCGCTCTTTTCATTTGCCTAAAGTCGTCCAGGTGTGATCGGAAATCGCAGTGTTGCTCGATCTAATCCATTTTTGATCTCTCAGGGAGTTCAGCTAACGACTACTTACGTAGAAGCTTTCAGCCCAAAATGGATCATTTGTTATGCGAAATTATTTAGCTGAAAACGTTCTTCTGGGTTTCAAAATTGGCGCACAGAATAATGAGGTTTTTACTTTCATCGACGTTAAACTATTGATTTTTCTTCACTTGAGCATCAAATGCAGATATTCAGCAGGACTTCCAAGTTTTAGAAAAAGTGATGTTTTTTATAAAAAGTGGAATTTTTAAAGAAACACGTTGCATTCACGATTTTAATTCTTTATAAAGGCTGCCTTTCGTTATTCGGATCGGTTTTGCATCAACTTTCGAAAGCGCTTCACTCTAAAGATGCTGAAAGTTTCCTAAAAATTATTCTCCCAGCGGTTTCGCGATGGATCTCTTTAGTCCAGTTTTTACCACCTATCTACGAAGGTCGGTTTCATAATGGAAGAATTTAGTCAACCACGCTCTCTCCTTTAAAAATTCGCATCTCCCAAACTGCAGGAGCCAGTAATTTGAAATTTTCASCATCTTTACAAGACATGCGACTCTAACGGTATTGAAAGTTTCATAAAAAACTCGATAAACCTAATTTTTACCATCTTCGGAAATACCGGTTTTGTGATGGATCTCTTTAGACAACCGCACCCTCTCCCTGAAAAATTCGCTACTCCCAAAATACTGAAGCTAACAATTTGCAATTTACATCATCTTTAGAAGACTCGCGTGTCTAACATTGCTGAAAGTTTCGAGAAAATCGCCCCAAAGCCTGATTTTTACCATCTTYGTAAATATCGGATTCATAATGGAAAAATKTAGTCAATTGCGCTCCCTCYTTTAAAAATTCGCATCTCCCAARCTACAGGAGTCAGCAATTTGAAATTTTTACGATCTTTAGAAGACATTTGACTCTAACGSTATTGAAAGTTTCATAGAACTCTCCCTAAAACCTGATTTTTACCATCTTCGTAAATATCGTTTTTGTGATGGATCTCTTTAGTCAAGTGCACTCTYTCCGTTAAAAATTCGCTACTCCCAAACTACAGAAGCTAACAATTTGAAATTTTWACCATTTTTAGAAGACTCGTGAGTCTAACACTGCTGMAAGTTTCGACGAAATCGCCCCAAARCCTAATTTTTACCATCTTCGTAAWTATCGGTTTCATAATAGAATAATTTAGTSAACTGCGCTCCCTCCTTTAAAAATTCGCAACTCTCAAACTGCCGTAGTCAGCCATTTGAAATTTTCACCATTTTTAGAAGACATGCGACTCTAATAGTATTAAAAGTTTCATAAAAAGCTCCCTTAAACCTAATTTTTACCATCTTTGTAAATACCGCTTTTGTAATGGTTCTCTTTAGTCAAGCGGACTCTCCTTTAAAAATTCGCTACTCCCAAAATACGGAAGCGACCAATTTGAAATTTACATCATCCTTAGAAGACTCGCGTGTCTAACATTGCTGAAAGTTTCGAGAAAATCGCCCTGAAGTCTGATTTTTACCATTTTCGTAAATATCGGATTCATAAGGGAAGAATTTAGCCAATTGCGATCCCTCCTTTAAAAATTCGCATCTTCCAAACTGTAGAAACCAACAATTTGAAATTTTCATCATCTTTAGAAGGCATGTGACTCTAACGGCATTGAAAGTTTCATAAAAATCTCCCTGAAACCCGATTTTTACCATCTATGTAAATATCGGTTTCGTGATGTCTCTTTTTAGTCAGTTTTAGTCAACCACCCTCTCGCGTTTAAAAATTAATATCTTTCAAACAAAAGCAAGCAAGCGCATAAAATGTTCACCATTTTTTTCATTTGACTTGGTCCATGCTAGAAATTTCAGAAAAATTCCCCGGAATTCTGATTTTTGCCAACTTGGCAAATACCGGTCTTAAAATCAATAGTTTATGGCAATTGCAGGCTCTCATTTAAAAATTTACATCTACCAAACGAACAGAAGCAGCGATTTCAGATTTTCTGCGTCTTTACAAAACAGTGGACTCTTATGATGCTGAAACTTTGATAAAAATGTAAGTTTTAACTCAATGGCGCTCCCTAATTAAAAAATTCTGGTCTTCCCAGCTGAAGCCAGTAGAAACTTGAAATTTGCACGATTGGTAGAAGACACTTGCCCCTCCAGACTCTGAAAGGTTCATGAAAGTCGCTACAATTTGAAGGTTGTTATCAGCTTAGTAACTATCGGTCTCATAATGGAAGTTTAGGAAAAAATCGTATCTTCCGCACTAAAGTTTCGAATTAAAAATCGTTATTTCATGCGAATAAATTGCTCAAACCGAAAAATCAAGGCAAAATGCATCAATAACTTTAGATCCTTGAAAACAAGTTTTTCTGAAAAGATGTTTTTAAAATTTCATGCTCTTCACTATCTGAGCACACACTCTGAGCTCGTAAATTTCTAATGAAAACAATGCAGTTCTTTGCCTCTCTGTGTTTGAATCGAATTCCAAACGAATCCTTGGGCTTAAACAATATCTACCTGTGAAAAGACTGTTAACACCCATGGAAATTAGAAGATCTTCATCCTTCAAACGTTAGGGGTTCAGTTTCCAAACCTTCTGTTTTAATTGTGCCACTTTACCTTGACCAGCAGTTGGAAAATTAGAATTATCGCCCAAATGATGGAGCCTGCCGGGCCCTTCCAGAAGCCATCCATGAAACCTTCGCAAGTGCTTATGGTTGTTTTGGAAATTCAAATTTATTGACAATTTAGCCGATTCGATCTCTAGGGTAAAAACCCAAGCAATTGATCACCTGGGTAGAGGTTTTCGAGCAACCTTCTTCTTTTCCTATTGAAAATGGTTGGGCAGAGAAAGCGATTGTTGTCGGCCGGTAATTGGCGACTTTTTACCAATGAGATTCCTTGTTTGTTGTAGCTAATCGAAAGGAAAAACCCATCCACATTTTAAACGAGTTTCAAGTAAAAACTCTATTAAATGCGAATACATTGTCAGGTCGGTTGAAGTTAGTTCCCGTTAACATTTCACCGAGACACTGTTCATGATTGAGAATACGGAACGGAGGATAATTGGTGGCCTTATTAAAAATGAATGTGCTATTTATTATTTTTCAACTTTGGATAATTGCTGGCCCGCCATGCCTATGATTACTGTTTCCCCTCGGTTTACCACTACTCTGCTCCTTTTTTTCGGTAATTTACGGTTGTTTCCAAACCGAAATTAATTATACATGCGCCGACTCTTCAACCAAACCGCTTCAATGACACCATCAAATTGCTCCCACAGTCCCACAGGGAGAACAAAACCACCAAATCGCCCATTTAAATTCCGTCCCCATTCGAATGGTTTAATTAATAATCAAAATCAACTGTCACATTATCGCCTGATGAACATCAACAATACACTGTCGAATCAATATTCGGTACGCCACACCATCGAAATGAATATTTAAAAATCAATAGAGACGAAATCTGGCAAACGAGGTGGCCATCAAAATGACCAAAAGCCACAGGCATAAAGTACGCGTGTTGCATCTTTAATTGCTTTCAGCGCACTGTTTGAATCATCGATCGAAATATACCGGGTGTTTAACGGTCATCTAGATCTAGTTGAGGTTGTCCAGTTTGGTTGGCCACTGTAGGTCTGCTTCCAAGCGGTTCAAGGGCCGGGTGAAAGTGCAGGTTTTCTGGTGTTTTTCAAATGGCTTATAATCCATGGTGTTGCGACGACAACTTTCACCTTGGCGGAACGAACAATAGGCTTCACTACTCGAGCCCCAGGAAAAGAAATCAGTTCAGGAATTGAATCACCCTGTGGGTGAAACTTTGGAGGTTTCTCGAGATTTCAGACCGCAAATTTATGTTGGTTTGAAACTGGAAGTTTTTCCGCAACTTTCCGCAATTCTTAGAAGACACTTGACTCTTGAGATGCCAAAAATTTGGATGAATTTGATGATTGAAAATGGATGTTTTTACTCAACTGCGCTTACTTTTTA